AGTTGAAACAAAAGAAGAAAGAAGCCAAAACAAACCAATAAAAAAAGGTGAGAGACTTCCTTAAGTGGAACTCACAAGTTTTGCATAGCGATCTGCATTTGAGTTGAAGTCGCGATCAACTTGCACAAAACACTCTTATTGCTGCACATTCCTTAAGTGGAACTCACAAGTTTTGCATAGCGATCTGCATTTGAGTTGAAGTCGCGATCAACATGCACAAAGACACTCTTATTGCTGCACATTTTGAAATTCAAGGACAAAAATAAATTATGAGCCCTATGAGCTCCATGAACAAAACGAAAGTTAAATGATTTTTTTATATACTTTTCCTCGATACATTGACTAAACTATTTTGTCTCGTTTGCACGTGCCCTAGAGGCCCTGTATAATTAGGTTTACTTGGATTTGGAAACCTAATGCAACATGTGTTAAAACCCTAAGCTACATTGTCATGGTATAAACCGCAACTTAATTATGGGAAAGTTTATATAGAATCGAGGCTCTAAACAATTAAATTCGAGCCTACTTCAAAAATTTCACTAGAAGATATTGTTTTGATGCCCAAGTATCCTCAAATTCATCATCTCGATATCAAGATGCATGGACATGATAAAAAAATAGATTTCAAGTTTTGAAAATAGTGTATTTTGTAACGCACTTTTGGACCGTAAAATTTCAAGATTTTCAAGTTTTCATAGTTCTCTTAATCTACATCATTTTTGAAGCTTTAAACTTTATAAATAAAGTTGAAAATATATTTTAAGGCTATCAAAAAGATTTCCTACATTGAAACCATATTTCCTCATTACTATTTGAAAGTAGACTCTAATTTGAATGTTTAGAGCCTATAAGGGTGTGGTTTCCATAAGGTTGCAACCTTAAACAATCTATTTAAGGCGAACCTCTAAATTTTATCATAGCATATAATTTTGATGTGAAAATATTCTTAAGATTATCTTAAAATCTATTCTTATATTTAATTATAAAATTTTAAAATCAAGTAGATCAATAAACATATGAAAATCTCGAAAATGGACGGTCTAGATAATGTGTTGTAAGATGCATTATTTCTTGGGACTCAAAATCTTTTTGTTTTCATAATCATATATCTCGACGTCAAGATGATTAATTAAAATATTTTTTCAATATTAAAATCTTTTGGATGGATTTTTGAGGTGCATCCCTAGTTATATATTTTAAAGTTGCAACCTTATAAAAACTTTTCCTTTCGAATAGAAAGGGGTCCTTGTTCTTGCAATTTAAATTTAAATTACTTTAAGCAAATGAAGGGTCTGTACCGGAATCCAAAGGTCTGGCGGGAGACACGCCAACAGAAATTGCGGCTCCATGTCCGTCTACGTGCTTATCCTAAAGGTTTATCAGTCGGGTGCGACACGTGTCGATGTCTGGTGAAATACGTGTGCGAAGGGGACACGTCATCAAGACGTACACGTGGCCAACTGTAACCGGCGATTCAGAGATTGAAGGGAAAATGATTCAATAACCTCGTTGTATTGGAGGTAATTACGAGGGTAACACCGGTTCGTTGATAATAGGGGTAACTCGTTTACCCAAAGCTTTTCACCTAATGACCGGAGAGCCCTTGGGGTATTTTGGGAGTGGAGAGTAGATTCGGTAGAATCTCTCTGTACTTGCGTAAATTTGGATCCCAGCTGTCACATTTACACTTTTGAATGCATAAAAATTTAAATGTAAAAAATTAAGGGTACGGTTTGTATAGGGTTTAGGCTCTAAACAATCAAATTAGAACCTACTTTCAAATAGTATTAAAAATTATGGTTTTGATACTGAAAATCTTTGTCATAGCTTTAAATTATATTTTTATCTTTATTTATAAAGTTTAAGGCTTACAAAATAGTGTCGATAGATAGATATATCAAAACTTGAAAATCTTGAAAATTGACGGTCCAAAAATGTGTTACAAAATGTCTTTTTTCAAAACTTGAAATCTATTTTTTTATCTCATACCTATGCATCTTGATATCGAGATGATCAATTTGAGCATCAAAACAATCTCTTCTAATTAAATTTTTTGAGATAGGCTCTAATTTGATTGTTTAAAACCTCGGTTCTATATAAACTTATCCCAAAAATTATTTACTTTGTTCTCATGTGTCACCATTAAAAGATAAAGATTATATTTGGAGTGCGTGGATATGCTCCGCAGGAGTGTATTGTACATCTATTCCCGCAATCAAAATACCTACTTAGGAGGTTCCTTTTTACCATGAAATCTTAGGAACCACTTACTGGATGATTATTTTCAAATTAATAAATTTGAATGTTGGGTTTCATAATACTTAAATCTCGGTGTCTTTTCAATCATGAGACATTATTTATTTTAAGTGCGTAGAAAGTACAATTAGGAAAAGTTTTTTATCGATATTAGTTTATATCTAATAGCTTGAAAGAGGTTGTTTGGGTCCTAAGGTCAATTATAGAGGTTTTTATGAAGGAGTAAATGGACAATATATTCCCATGGGAATACATTGACCGTCTCCTTTATTTCAAATCCAAAGAAAATAGAATCGTGAAAGTTGGTTCTCTCCGTTTTGTTTTATGTGAGGTATTAGCCGAGGCAGCACAATGTTGTCCTTTGTGCACTTAGCCTTCTTTTTACTGGTTTTTCATGCGTTATGAATTGGAGACACAGTAAGTTTTGTCTTTTAACACTTTATTTTCATTTAATAATGTTTTAGCTTTCATTTTCTTGATGTTTTCCATTTCATGGTGCTCTTTACTTTTGCTTTTGCCATTTTACACTCTTTCTATCTTCAGTTGGTTTTTTTTTTCATCCATTCACGCGTGATTAAGCTGTTATGTTAATCTAATAATCTTTTCATGCAATTCATGCATACCACGTGTTTCCTTTTTCTTGCCAATATTCTAAATTTCTTAAATTATTATTATTTTATTAAATTGGATGACATTTTGCCAATATTCATACAAACTTTAATTCTCTCTAAAAAATCCACTCTATCTCTCTCTCTCTAAAATGAGTACACCACAAATTTAAAATTTCTCTCACAAAAATCCATTGACTAATTTCATTTATGGAGATAGGGAGAACAAATTATTCGTACTTATCTTAATTTTTTTTAAAAAAAATTCGTACGTATCTCAAGTTCTCTATTTTAGATAGAGAAGGCTTCAACAAATTTTAAGCCCAAAAACCTATTTTGGGAAATTAGAAATTAGAAACCCCCCAAAATTAGCCTATTGGACTTCCAAAGGGCTTCAAATTGTCCCACTAAAATGACCTTTTGTTAGAAACAGTTTTGTTCGAAACAGTTCATGGGGCTGGATCGCATTTGTACTGCAGTCATGAGGTATAAAGTATCTATATTAATGATGGATGCAAATAGGTGGTCTATTTAAAAATAATTATAATTAATGGTTCAAATGTTTTTTTAATATATTTATTATTTTTAATTTTTAAAATTTATATATTTTTTCTTTATATTAAAGATTATAAATTCTTTAAATTAAGATCAAATTATATTTAAAAAATATATTTATTACCAAGCCTGCATTTCTACCTATGCAAGCTTGTCAATATGCGAATCACATCTTTCTCTAAATTTCATACACTACAAATTTAAATTTTCTATCAAAAAATCAATTGACTAATTGTAGTTATGGAGATGGTGACAACAAATTATAGGTATTTATCTCAAGTTCTCAATTTTAGATAGAAAATGTTTCTAGAAAATTTAAGCCAAGAAACCTATTTTGGGATATTAGAAATTTGAAAACCCCAAAATTAGTTTAATTGAATTTCAAAAGCGCTTCAAATTGTCCACTAAAATGACTTCTTTTTTTTTTTAAGAACAATTGTTTCATACATGCAGGACCATATTTGTATAATATGCAGTTAAGAGGTATAAAGCATCCATCTTAAAGATGGATGCAAATAGGTGGTCTATCTACAGTTCAAATGTTTTTTTAATATAATTACTATTTTTAGTTTTCAAAATTTATATATATATTTTTTACATTAAAGATTACATATTTTCTAAAAATTAAGATCAAATTATATATATATATATTATTTATTTATTTAAAAAATATATTTACTGCCAAACCCGCATTAATGCGCAAGCTTATTTGCATGCTAGCCGCGTCCTTCTCTAAATTGCATACACTTAATTTTCTCTCAAACAAATTATTCACTAAGTTGCATTTATGGAGATAGTGACAACAAATTAATCGGACTTAGCCCAAAAACCTATTTTGGGAAATAAGAAATTAAAAACTCCCCAAAATTAGCCTATTGGGCTTTCAAAATGCCTTCAAATTGTCCGCTGACCCTTTTGTGAAATAAATACTAATAAAAAAGAGATGCAGTTGCAGACAGATGTATCCCTAGGTGTAGAGATAAAGTGCGCCTTCAAATTTTATCTTGGTGTATAATTTTGATGTAAAATGTTTTTAGCATTATCTCAAAATCTATTTTTATATCTAATTATAAAAAGTTAAATTTAAAAAATAGTTAAAATTAAATAGATCTATAAACATATAAAAATCTTGAAAATAGACAGTGTCGATAATATGTTGTAAAATACATTATTTTTAAAATTTAAAATTTTTTTCATTTTTCATGGTCATACATCTCGATGTCGAGATAATCAATCAAAGGGTTTTTCTACATTAAAACTACCTTTGATGGATTTTTGAGGTGCATCCCTAGTTCTACATTATACCGTTGCATCCTTATATAAACTTTTTCCATAAAAAAAACATGAGAGAGGCGTTTGGGATAATTACGAAAGAGGCCCGGCGTGGTTTGGTCATCTTTCCCAAAAAACAAAAGGGTGTTTTGGTCATGTTTGTCGTCATCTTTTTCCTTAAAGGCAGACGGCAACCGGCTGCCAAATTTATAGGGCCTTCTAAGCCTAGTGGCGGTTTTCCTGCCACTCTACGATTATTAGTTAGCATTTGTCAGGGTCCGTTGTCTCTCTTTCCAGTCAGCCGTTATCTTCTTCCTCTAAATATGTTTTACCGTAAAAGCCCAAAACATATTCTACAATTCTCACTAAGTCCTTCCTCCCTTTCGCGCTCTCATCTGAAAAATACGCCATTAAAGCCACCTTGTCATCAAAAGCCCCTGAGTAATCTCTCTCTCTCACAGACCAACTTGTGCATTTCTCTGCAGTCTCTCTCGACCTTTATAGATACCCATCACTAATTATTCGAAGCCTCTGTCTTTTTATATGCACAATCTGCCATTGTTGCAGAAACCCATCACTCTTTCTTTCATTCACTCTTTTCCCCCCTTAGTTGCAGAGGTCGCCATTAAAAAGACTCCTTGCAATTGCATTTCAAGAACAGAGAACACCAATCTCTCACCATCTTCTATATCACCCTCACTTGCATAAACCACTTCTCTCTGTCTGTTATCTCCGACTCCAAATTACAACTCCTTTACTAAACCCAACAACAAATCCTCAAACCCCATCAGCCCAATCGGGTTTTTGATCTATTTGAGCTACCAGAGCTTTCCTGTGGTTGCAGAGTGCGACTCCTCTGCAACTATACAGAGAGAGAGATGGCGAGCCATGGCTCTTTCTCTAGCCTCAACTCTTACATAAAAGCTCTTTCTGAAACACCCCAAAGGTTAAATAAACGAATGTGGTCTGTCTCTTCAGCCAGTGAAGAACTAAGCCTGGTTAAAGTGCGCTCTGGTTCATTAATGGCCAAGAGGCTTCGATGGTTCGACCTCGTCGGTTTAGGACTAGGTGGTATGGTGGGTGCTGGTGTTTTTGTGACCACAGGCAGCGCCATGAAGCTGTATGCAGGACCAGGAATAGTGGTGTCCTACGCCATTGCTGGTCTATGCGCTCTTCTCTCTGCTCTTTGTTATACTGAGTTCGCTGTCGATATGCCTGTTGCTGGTGGTGCTTTCAGCTATCTTAGGATCACTTTCGGTAATCTTCTCTCTTCATCTTTGCTCTTTCTTCTCTTCATTTTATTTGTGCTCAAGATTTGTAGGAGTCATGGCTTTCAGTTTACTGAGAGAAAGAGGGAAAATGATTACAAGAGAGAGAGAGAGAGAGCGAGAGAGAGAGAGAGAGAGAGGAGGAGGTAT